TGACAATATGAAAAAGCAACCTACTGATTGGGAGAAGATATTTGGGTACCATATATCTGAAAAGGGGTTAATATCCAAAATATATAGAACTCCTACAACTCAATAACAAAAAAACAGTATGATTAAAAAATGGGCAAAGGATCTGAACATTTTCCCAAAGAAAACATAAATATGGCCATCAGTCACATAAAAAGATGCTAGCCAACACTAATCAGGCAAACACAAATCAAAATGTTAGAATGGCCATCACCAAAAATACAAGAAATAACAAGTGTTGGCAAGGATGTGAAGAAAAGGGAACCCTTGTGCACTGGTGGGTCAAAATATAAATTGGTGTAGCAACCATGGAAAACAGTCTGGAGGTTTCACAAAAATTATAAAAATAGAACTACCATGTGATCCAGCAATTCCACTACTAGTATGCATTTATTTATTTATTTATTTTAAATTAATTAATTTTTAAAAGCTTTTATTTATTTGTTTGAGAGAGAGAGCGAGCACAAGTGTGGGGCAGAGGCAGAGGGAGAAGCAGACTCTCCACCTAGCAGGGAGCCTGATGCAGGGCTTGATCCTAGGACCTCGAGATCATGACCTGAGCCAAAGACAGATGCTTAACCAACTGAGCCACCGAGGTGCCCTCACTACTGGTATTTATCTGAAGAAAACAAAAACACTAATTTGAAAAGATACATGCACCTCTTGTCTACTGCAGCATTATTTAGACTAGCCAAGATACAGAAACAACCTAAATGTCCATAAATGGATGAACGGACGAAGAAGATGTTAAACACACACACACACATGAATATTATTTAGCCATAAAAAATGAAATCTCGCCATTTGTGATAACATGAACATACCTTGAGGGTATTATGCTAAGTCAGAGAAGAAATACAGTATGATCTCACTAATACATGGAATCTAAAAACTACAACAAATGAACATGCAAAACAAAACTAATAAATACAGAAACAGATTGATGGTTGCCAGAGGGGAGAAGGTTGAAGAGTGGGTGAAAAAGGTGAAGGGGTACAAATTTCCAGTTATCAAATAGGTCATGGAGATGTACAGCATGGTGACTATGATTAATAATACAATTATTTATATTGTATGATATATATTATTCTATGCATTGTATATATTATCAGTATCATGTACTTGAAAGTTGCTAAGAAGATAAATATTAAAAGTTCTCATCAGGGGGATGACTGGGTGGCTCAGCAGTTGAGCATCTGCCTCTGGCCCAGGGCGTGATCTCAGGATTCCAGGATCGAGTCCCACATCGGGCTCCCTGCATGGAGCCTGCTTCTCCCTCTGCCTGTGTCTTTGCCCCTCTCTCTCTGAATCTCTCATGAATAAATAAATAAAATCTTTAAAAAAAAAGTTCTCATCACAAGAAAAAAATTTTTTTTGTAACTTTTGTATGGTAACAGATTGTGGTGATCATCTTGCAATATATACAAAATAATAAATCGTTATGTTGTAAACCTGAAACACGGTATATGTCAATTATATCTCAATTTTTTAAAATTTCAATTTCTGGAAGAAAGAAATGAGGATAATAACATCAATCTCATAGTGTGTGAACACTATGAGTTCACCTATGCAAAACACACTGCATTAAGCTCAACAAGTGGTGGCTTTAATAATATGCCATTGGATGTTCTCTGTGTAAAAAAAGGTTTGTGGTTAAAGGAGTCTTGGAAATGTTCCATACTGCATCTCCCTTCTCAGAGATTCCCAGGGCACATTAGCATAGTAAAAGCTCTGAAAAGTCCTATGTAAAGAATCCTATTTAATTTGTTTTGGCCAAGAATTCCCCAAACCTATTTTCCAAGCTGACCCTCTTCCCCTTTTTAAATTTAACACATTTGGGGAAATACAATTTTAGTTATATTTAATTAATAAAGGAAGTCTTAAATTGTTAAAAACTGAACATGTTTTACTATTTTGCTTTCCCCACAGGTATGTATAATTTAAAAGCAGCAGCCAAGGAGAAAAAAGGCTTATAACCTAGAGAAAGAACAGAATGCTTTAAAAGCCCAAAGGAAATGAGAAATTTCAGGCAGGAGGAAGATCAATAATGAGCTATTTTTGGCCATGGAGACACTTCTAGAATAACAGATTCTTGGAGTTTGACAGCGTGTTAAAGTTCAACTCCTTTAAATTCTCACCCAATGCAGAATTTCCCTTCATCAGTCCAAACCCTTGCTGGCGCATACCCAGCCTCCCGTTTTAGGCAGCTCTAGTACTTAGGAAATTCTCCCTCACCCTGGGCTGAAATCTGCCTCCATGGAACCTCCACCCAAGACGGTGCTAGCAGAATTTTGAGGTTTGTGTTTCAATGAGAGCTGTCCATCGTGGAGATAGCAAATAAAATGCACAGAGATTTTGTGAATCCTTATACAATCTAAAGTAACATGATTATTAATTGAGCAGTAAATGGAAAATAAAAATTATTGGAAACACATTAATTATACTTTAGTAAAAAAAAAAAAAGGAAGTGTTGGAAACAGCAACTTTCATTTTCTCCATCTGTAAAGGGGGTGAATAATCAGAAATTCAGCTATAAGGTAAGCAATGGATATAGGGTTTATTTTGCAGGTGGAGTTATTTTGCAACTGTCAATTTCTAAGAAGAAAAAGGAAACGCATATTTTAAATGACTCTTGTTTCTTGTCTTTTTAATTTAAAAAATTGGGGATCCTTGGGTGGCTCAGTGGTTTAGTGCCTGTGTTTGGCCCAGGGCATGATGCTGGAGTCCCCCGGGATCGAGTTGCACATCGGGCTCCCTGTAAGGAGCCTGCTTTTCCCTCTGTGTCTCTGCCTCTCTCTCTCTCTCTCTCTCTCTCTCTCTCTCTCTGTCTCTCATGAATAAATAAAATCTTAAAAAAATATTTAAAGAGACATTTTTTAAAACTCTACCCAAAGCTTATCCTTCCAGCTTCTTTTATTATAAAAATAAGTATTAAATAATTAAAATATAGTGTATGTCTCAAAAATATAGGTTTATTAACAAAAGCCAATAACAAAGACAGGGAATGTTTACTTGTGTTTTATAAAAATGTAGCTGTTTGAACCCCTATGGAATTTCAAGGCTTTGTACAACTTAAAACCTATGGAAAACTCCAAGGGAGTAGATGGAATAGAACTTAGAGGGGAAGAGAACCCCCAGGATCCAGGCTCCTCTAAAGGTCCAAAGTCATTCAGTAAGCAATCAGGGATTTGGCAAAATCATAAAAAGGACAGGCTGTGTTTCCGCAGAACAGTCCTTTTAAAGGAGAACTTTCTAGACTCAACTTCATTCGCATTAAACTATTAGTTTGTCACATTTTAGTTATTTGTACACCTCATTCTGATACTCTGAGGCAAAAGGGTTTGCATTCCTGTTTTACAACCAAATAAACTGAAGTAAAATCAAAACATTCATACTGAACAATACTCAAGCATATATCAGTACATACTGAGATTCCAACAACTGGATGAATTCAGTGCTAGCTGTGTTCTTCTTTCAGTAAAATAATTTCCTTCAGTTTTCTTACTAAAGATAATGGAAAACAAATACAGGCCTGTGAAGGAAGAGTCAGTATTAGTCAGGACCCACAAATACGGTGGCTGAGCAATGCAGTTTCATGTTTCCTGCTTGCCTAAGAAGTCTGTAAGTTATGCTCAACGGCAGTGTTTATTACAATTTACTTACTGACACACAACACAGAGGATGTTTTTGTTCTCATCCTTGAATCATAGAAAAACCATCACAGATGACATTGTCAATTCCTTCCACACGTATTAGGGAAACTCGTACTGTGCCAGGCATTTACAGGAAACGTTTTTGGAGCACCTAATACAAGACCGAATAAAACCTGGTCCCTGACTTCATGGAACTGGCAGTCAAATAAGAGAGACAGACCAGCAAATCAGTAATTTCCATAGAAAGTGACAAGTTCTCTGCTGGAGCCAGGTGTGTGACACTGGGGGAATACTGGCAAGGGTAAACTAATCAGATCAGGTCGTGGGAAGAAGCTTCTCAGAGGAGCTGACTTTAAGCCATCAGTAGCAGAGTTGAACCATCTCTGACTCCGATTTCAATTCCCAGCACTCAGGTGAGAAAGTACCTCCTGACCCTGCTTTTCTGAGTTCTTGACACTGTCATGACCAGATTTATAGCCTGTGGTCTCAGAAGGAAAGAGAGGGAGAGGGAAGGAAGATGAAGAAGGGAGGGAGAGAGGGAGGGAAGGAGAAAGGGAAGGGGTGAAGAGGGAAGCAAGAAGGAGAGACAGAGAAACAGAAAACAGAGCAGGGGGTGCCCTAGTGGCTCAGTTGGGTAAGCCTCTGTCAGGCTCTTGGTTTTGGCTCAGCCAGTGATCCCTGGGTGGTGGGACAGAGCCCCCAGTGGGTTCTACACTCAGCTGGAGACCACCTACAATTCTGTCTCTCCCTCTGCCCCTCTCCCTCCCTCTCAAATAAATAAATCTTTATTTCTCTCAAATAAATAAACAAGCCTTTAAAGAAAAAAGAAAAAGAAAACAATGAGTAGAAGTTACAAGTTCCATGACAGGTTCCAGAAGCTGCTAGAGATTGCCAGAGGTATGAAGGGTGACCACTCAGTGCCTGAGCAGTCTGTGTTCTCAACGTGGATGTCCCATCTAATCTGTGACCACCCTTTCTCTATGCCAAGCAACAGGACACGGGAATGCAGTCTCCTTCTATCCAGGTTAACTTGCTGAGCCAATGTAGTGGGGGTGTTGCTTCTACCACCAGTGAGGGCAGCAAAATGAAGGTGCAGATCCCTGTGTTCTCCTGGAAAATGGGGTCAGACTCATTGCTAATCCCTACGGTGACTTCTCCACACAGAATGCACAAAGTACCCCACGTCTTCCACCTTCCCATAGATACAACACAGCTGTGATTCCACCCTTGCCTCCTCTGGAATCCCATTCTCCACCTTGGGACTCTGCCAAAGATCTGGAGGGTGGGGGTGGGTGGAGTATGAATTGTTACCTTAGATTGTCTTCCAGGGTCTCCTCATCTGAAGAGAAGGTCCCATTGCTGACACTCCGGGGAGAGTGAATCTTAGTCCCTGTTGACACCTCCTGGGACAACAAAGTGTCTTTCTTTTTCCTTCTGCCAAACAACTTCTTAAAAGGCTGGAATTTACCTCCTTTCTTCTTGTCTGTGGATTAGAAGATAAACATACGCTGCAGTTTGACAGAGCTGCACCTCTGAGCCTGAGAGCAAATTACAAGTGAGCTGCCTCTGGCCAAGGGAGCTGGGGCAAAGGGCAGCCATCAGAGTGAGTGAGCGACCAAGCCCTGTGCCAGCAACGGCAGGGCCAGCCCCTGTCTGGGCACAGTCAGGCAGAGACAAGCCAAGGGCATGGAAAGGCTTTTGCCACCAGGCTCCCAAAAAAGCACCTGGGCCAACACAGAGAGGTCCCAAGCATCACAGTGGCCGCACAGCACCCTTGGGCATGTGCTACACAGAGGTGGTGCCTGCTTTCTTTAACAAAGCAGATGGTCAGTGCCCTTCTCCACAGAAGAAGCTGAGAAAACATGGTAAGTCAGACAGGTGCTTAAAAAAATGTATATACCTTTACGTATATAACTTTATGTGCATGTGTGTGCATATGTGTGTGTGTGTATACACACACACACACACACACACACACACACACACACACTCCCCTGAGAATCAACCTGTTTTAGCCATTGTCAGATACGGAAGGTAACTGCTAACTCTTGGCATAAGCTTTGCCCCCAATTCCCTCCACCTCTATGTATTTCCAGTTTATTTCTCCTTTCTCCTCTTAAAATCCACTACAAAGAGTCCCAAAGCAGTTGCTATGAACGTCTCTCCATATATTACTTCATCCAGTCAGGACCCAGGGCTCAGTGCCAGCATTTCCGACAGATATTTTAGTTAATACCGTTCAGTTCTGCTTCTTTAATCACAAGTACATCCACATCACTCCGCTCCTACCTCAGGAAAGAAAGTGTGTATCACACTGTACCAGAAGCAGCATCTCTTCACGTCCTTCCTTTTCTTTAAGAAGCCAGTCACCCAGTGGTCATCTTATTTTTAATTACTTAACCCTTAACATGCACCCCTGCTTCAAGAACTTTCCAAGTATAAAAAAAAAATAAAAAAAAAGAACTTTCCAAGTATTAATTTAGTTAATCCTCACAATGACCATATGAGGTTGATACTATTAACATCCCCATGTTACAGAAGAGGATCCTCAGGCACAGACAGATGAACTAACTTGTCTATGTCAGGGGAAATGTGTCTCTGAAGCTGGAGTCAGGAGCTCTGAGGGAAAAGAAAAGATGGAAGCTTGCAAAGCGTATGGAAAAGTACCTGCACAAAACACCTAGGTATGAGTCCGCATCTGAGTATCAGATACCCTGGACCTCTGATGGCCAGAGAAAAATCGGCGTATAAAAATGAGGTTCAAGATATGCAAGGTAATCATCTCATTAGTGATCTTCCGTTCTGGCCTTCCTGAGACCAAGTCTGAAGCACAGAAAAGGTGGTTTATTTTTTTTTTTTTAAGATTTTATTTATTTATTCAAGACAGAGAGAGAGAGAGAGACAGGTAGAGGGAGAAGGAGGCTCCATGCAGGGAGCCTGACGTAGGACTCGATCCCGAGTCTCCAGGATCACACCCTGGGCTGAACTGGCGGCACTAAACTACTGGGTCACTGGGGCTGCCCAGAAAAAGTGGTTTAAACCTCTCTGCCCTAAACTGTAACATAAAACACTGAGAAAGCACACAAAACAGTTGCCAATCACAAAAAGACAACAGTATGGGATCCTTACTATAGTTGCAAACAGACCTTCCAAATTAAGTGGCCCCTAAAACAATAATGAATTATATCACACTTAAGAGGAAAGGGCACTTGTTGTATCAGATGCCTCCCATCCACAATGTTCTGTGCCAGCTATGCAGTCCTCAAACCAGAGTTAAATTCTTTTCACTATGTTTATTTAAAAGAAGTGTGTGCAATACAATTGAAATCATAACACTTAAAAATGGTGGGACGTCTGGGTGGCTCAGTGGTTGCCTTTGGCTCAGGGCATGATCCCAGGGTCCCAGGATCGAGTCTCGCATGGGGCTCCCCCAGGGAGCCTGCTTCTGAGCCTGCTTCTCCCTCTGCCTATGTCTCTGCCTCTCTCTGTCTCTCATGAATAAATAAAATCTAAAAAAAAAAAAAAACACTTAAAAATGGTAAAAACAAACAATACAAATGGGAGGGTTTGATTTCAGACTGCTTATTTGTTTTCAGTGGTTATTTATTCAGGAAAATAAGCCAGAGATTTTCATGACACCTACTTCTGGTTTCCATCAATAAATAATTTTTAAAAATTATAATCAATAGTCTCTGAAGACCATCAAAGAACATCAAGTGTTAAAAGAGCTGACCTTACATAAAATGAGTCAATTAAAAATTTTTTTAAATTTTAAAGTAAGACACTACAAGGTATCATTATATTATATAGTTGGTCTTTGGCACTGACTGATGAAATAAATGAATTATTTTCTCTATGACTGTCCAAAGCTCAAAATATGCAAATGACACCTGATTTCTTGATTTGGCAGCATTATTATATATGGTCAAAGAGTAATTTGTGCTACATTTTACTTATTTTTGAGGTGAAACTTTTCCTTTTTCCTTTCATATTGATTGCCTTTTTCCCACTACAGAAATATCTAGTCCTTAATTCTCTAATCAGAAATATTCTAAAAGACCATAGCAAAATTCTAAAAGTATCAGTTATGAAATCATTATCCCCAGTCTGGACCCACAAACCTAGCTTTTTAGCTAAGTAGATAATTTTAGATCATGTCAGAGTTTATTTTATTTTATTTTTTTTAAAGATAGACCTTTTTTTTAAATTTTTATTTATTTATGATAGTCACACACACACACAGAGAGAGAGAGAGAGAGAGAAAGAGAGAGAAAGAAAGGGGCAGAGGGAGAAGTAGGCTCCATGCACTGGGAGCCCAACGTGGGACTCGATCCCAGGTCTCCAGGATCGCGCCCTGGGCCAAAGGCAAGCGCCAAACGCCTGCGCCACCCAGGGATCCCCATGTCAGAGTTTATTGATGGGGAAACAAATCAACACTTGCTCTGAAGTCAAGGTGGATTTGGTGGTCTTCAGTTGAGTTGAAACCAAGGGAGTTAACTATAACTACTAATTTACTAGGTAAATTACAGTAACAACAGTAACAACAGGTGACTTGTGGATTTCACTAAGGGGTGGTCTATACAGTCAGCCAAGGAGGCTGATATGTATTTTTTGTATTGTTTCAGTGTTCAGAATGGTGTCAGCCACCATATAAAATTAGTCTGCATTGATCATATTGTTGGGGGAGAGCAAGTGAGTGAACAGAACCCAGAAGGAACTGAATACAAAGTTAAGGATGGGATAAAGACAGCCTTGGGGAGGACACCAGGGTATGGAAGCCTTAGCTGGGAGGTGAACTTGATAGGCTTCATGCAAGCACAGAATGGCCTTCCTCAGGCGCTTCGTCTGTAAAGCTGGCCCCATTTGAGGGTTGCTTGTGAACCAGGCACTCTGGCACTCTGTCCTGCACATTATATGGGCAATCACTTGTATGAGTACACACACATTATCTAGGAAGATGTGTCAAAGTCCAAATGTGAGCATATTTCTCAAGGATTACTCCAGAAAGGCCATTTTAGCAATGCCTTATTTTTTTTTTTAATGCCTTAGTTATTATGGGAAAGGTAAAAGAACAGTAAAACCTATCTGAACTATCCATCCAACAACCAATCCTTCTTACCATGAGAAAAAGATTCTAGGCCTAAGAACACCAATTTCTCTTCAGAGGAGAAGTGAGAATGCAGAAACTTACAAGTATACTCCAGAGTCTTAGTGTTTGGTCACATCTGAGTTATAAAAAATAATTTTCCCCCTTCTCATTTCCAAAATACTTTTCCTTTTTTTTTCTTAAGATTTTATTTATTAATGAGAGACACAGAGAGAGACATAGGCAGAGGGAGAAGCAGGCTCCTCGCAGGGAGCCTGATGTGGTACTCGATCTTGGAACTTCGGGATCACGCGCTGAGCAGAATGCAGACACTCAACCACTGAGCCACCCAGGCATCCCCTAAAATATCTCCTGTCAGAAATATTTTTCATCTGAAATACAGTTTAAATATTTGTTTGTATGATTATTTTATTATTGATTGGTACAATTAATTAATTTTCCAGGATTAATTTTATTAAAAGATTCGGTAATTACATTTAGGCCCACCCTACATTCTGACACCAAATCATAACTAGGCAACGTTAATAGGAAATGAAATCTTATAAATCAGAGAGGGAGTTGTACTTATTCGGTTCCCCAGTTTTACTCTCAAAGTTTGGTATAAGATCTCTTGCATCAAAAAAGTAACTAAATTTTATGAAATATTTGCAAATCTATGGCACAACAACCATTATAAAATCCTGAGCATATGTCTACAAATAGCCATTAAATTAACTATTTTGTGATCAGTTTATGATTTGGGAGATACCCTGTCTCCATAGAATCAACTGGATTAAGTGCATGCTTATCACTAGTAGTTATCTTCTTCATAGGTAACACCAACCCTTACTGTGAAAATTTTTATAGGGTCTAAAAGATCAAAGCAATTTTGACAATGTAGTAAAGCACTTCTGCAATGGTAGTGTGAAATATTCCAAAATACAACTGCCATACATTAGAAGTGTAAGTAGTTTAGCAAAGTCATATCCAACATTACTGTATTTGAGATGGCATTTTAGAATTTTGTAACACAAATCTGCTTTCACTGGGTGGCTGGTACGGGGTAGGGGGAAGGGAAGAGAGAAGGAATTCCTACTAAAATTTGTTTTTTACTGGCTGCAGCTAGTTAAGGGTTAAGTGTGTGGGCCCTAGAGACAAAGAATACATGGCCTGAATTCTGATCCCATCTCTTACTAGCCATAAAACATCTGCTTACCAGCCTCTCTGTACATTTACTGTCTTTTTTTTGTAATTTACTGTCTTAAGTTGTAAGATTGAATTTATTGTAGAAAAGACAGTGGGTGCTATATTTTCTTAATATTTCAGCAATTTTCTGTTGCAATTTTTCACATGAAAGAATCTATATATGCATATAGATTGCTTCAGGGATCACAGTA